TCGTAAAAACATACCAGTAAATTCTTATCGGTTGGGTTAAGTTATAAATCTACTCGTTATTCACGTAATCGGGCGAGGGCGGCCAAATATCTAACAGGAGGGCCGCTAACAGCCCAGAACCGGTCCCGGATAGAATTGGATGCGTTATATGTGTTGCATCCACTCAAGGTCGTAGGCTTCCACCAGCTAAACTGGGTGAGGTTGGTGCTCTGTAAAGCGCATACACGAATCTGGCTTTTTGTATTCTGTCAATACAGCGATTCTACTCCGCCACTAATATTCGAATATACAATAGAAATATTATTTCTTTCTTCACGTGTAGTATAGAAATTTGTAATAAGATACATAATGCGGTTATAATAAAATATTGTGCGATTATTTTCATATAATTAAAATTAATATGTATTTGTTTTTTAGAAAATACAAGGGAAGCAGCGCATTCACTGCTTCCAATGACAGCACACCACTGTGTGATTGTAAATAAATAATGTATAAAATGGAAAAGTATCAATCATCTAAGGAGGAACTAAGGTTACAGCACTCTTCCAAAATATGAAAGACAAATATTTCCCGTCTTTACGTATTTTTTTGTTTCCAGTGAGATTCACCGAGGACCCGATACGAATCTTTACAATTTCTATGGATAGATACATAAAATGTTATCTATAGTCTACATCGATAAACCTAGGTTTCGACAAAAATGGTCAAAACAGATCGACCCTATAACTTGTTCTTATTGATGGGTCGGAAAACTCCATTTACGTCTCGGCTAATTATATAAAAGTTTCTCGTATTGCGTTATCAGTTTACGAAAGGCAAATTTCAATACAAATACACGTATAATAAATACCATTTTAGAAGTATGGCGGTGTACCTCTACAAAGTCATTTGGTACAGAAAAGTTTTGATTCTTTCAAAAGAGTTGTGGCTTTAAAAATGCTCGATTTGAAGATTACACGAACGTCACAGTCTAAAATAGAAAATATTCTTAATAAATTTTACATGATATATACAATGTAACGAGTTTAGAAGCATCTTACATAATTACATAACCTTTATTCTAAAGTAAGCCCGAAAAAGCTTTATAATAAGCGTACGCAAAATTCGTTGTAATTTAGAAGTACTAGTAAGATGCATATATCATTACTACTTCTATATTAAATAGAATATTTTTGCTGTTACTTTGAGAGAGATTGCTATACTTAACTGCAGTATTTTAGACGAAAATAAAGTAATATGGATTCACTTATATTCTTTAACAAATTTAAGTGATTTAACTTTACATAATACTTGTAAAATAATCAAAAAATAAACTCAATTCTGTCTACTCTATCTGGTCATTCTCCATTTTAAGAGAAATCTAATTTCACTTTATAAGATAAAATGTATAATGCTAACTGATATCTTAGCATTTTATCTTATCTTAATATTTACCCGAAGATTTTATACTCCATTATCGACACTAAAATTCGCAATAAGTTTAAAATAATATTTATAAATTGTAACACTTTTGCCTGCTTTTTAATTTTATTTAATTATTAAACTTCAAGATTTACTGATAGCTCGCTAATATCTTTATATATTTTTTTAATATATTGTTTTTTCAAGAATTTTTTAGCCTTCCACAAAAGAAAAACTAAATTAAGTTTTCTTGGATAACTTCATTTTTCGATATTTTTGTCCACTAATGGTTCGAGATAGTTTTTAGATTATCTTCCTTTGAGGAATTATAACAATTTTTATTCTCAAATTACTGCAAGAAAGAATAAATTTTATACTTTAACATTATTTTATCTATCTAAAACTGGATAAAATAATAAATAAATTTATTTAATACATATATTTGTTAAACTTCGCTAAGTTTAATCCGCGTATAAATATTTCATTTATTATTTGAAAAGACGGTCATTTAATTAATTCCCAACTTCTAAGGCTTCTATAATTTAATTTTATTCTATAAAAACTTTTAAATGTAGAATAAATTATTTAGCATAATTACGTCAGTAGATTAATGAAAATATATATAAAATTTATTAATAATATTATAAAATCTGACGACGATAGTTTGTTTTTGTTTAGAATTATTTATTCATTATCAATAGTTAAAAAAATAGCTTTTAAATTTCGAATTTCGAAAATATTAGCTTATATATTATTCATATTTTAATAATATATATATATATTATCATATAAATATATGTAAACAAACAAGAATTTCTTTTTTGTTTTTTCTTGTTTTTTTATATTTTTGATTAGAAAAATGTTTTCGTTTCTGATCAATAAAAGTATCTTATGTTAATATAACATATAAATTTCTCTAAAACATTATTTATTTCTCTGTTCGCTTTTCTGTTCTTCGTTTCTGTTTCTGTATTTGACAGATTTCTGCTTAAAATTCATCAAATAAATATATTTCAGTTAATTTATCTTGCATAATAACATAATATATTTTGAATTTTTTATTTTAAATTACTCTATTGGCAATATCTTATGGCAAAAATTTATTATAGAAAAATTATAAAGTATAAAAGCAAGCGTATTTATACTACATATATTTTTCTTAATGGTAATAAATAATAAAGTAATTTTAAAATTCTAATATTTTTAATGTAGGATTTATATTTATTTTTGAAATTTGGTTGTTTTTAAAAACGCATTATAACTAACAATAAAAATAATACATTTGTATTAACTGTTTTAGAAAATATTAGAAAGATTAATTTTGATTATATTAAGTTAAGTGGCTTATATACTTGTATATGATATATTTATTTAGAAAATTTGAAGAATTAATAATTTCTCTTCAATCTTAAATAAATGAAATAATCTTGCAGGATTATAAAGTAAAAATAATTTGCAATACTTCATAGGTTTATGTTTATTAGCGAATTTTTGCAGTTATCATAAAAACAGTACAAAATAATATTTTGATTGATTAAAAATATTAAAATTGACTAAATTTGATTGAAAATACTACTGTATTAATTGACTAAAAAAATACAAACAATAGTATCTTCATTTATTATTTGTCCAATTAATTTTTTCCAATTCTGTAATACTCATATGTTGTAATCCTTAAAACTTTTCATTTAATTTCTCTCTTACATCACATATTTATTTACAGTTTTTCTTGCATTTATTTTTAATCTCGTTCAAAAATTGCATGATATAAAGGCCTTTGTCTTTCTAGTTATTTTTACTTTTCCTCTAGTTTTTGTTCAACTAGTTTTCATTAAAAATCTTACGATTTTATTACTTATATTTAATAGCGGACAACTTGCATAATATATAACTTTTTAATTCTTTCTCTGTCGCCTAAATTTATTGTATGAACTAATGTTAACAAGTATATAGACAATATATAAAGCATTTGTGTTGTACAGTATATCAACATTGTATAACCTTATAGAATCTCCGAAACACTAAACAAATAGATGATATGCAAGGCAAATGCATAGTATATCATCTGTTTAATGTTCCGGTCATTCTATAAGTTCATGTAATACACAAATAACATCTATTGCCGATATAATTTAAGATAATTTAGCCTTTAGATTAAAATATATAACATTAATGTTAATTTATAATAGGTTCTATCAGTTATCATTTCGAAAATTAAGTCAATATCATATATTCATTTCATAAAGCATGAACGTGAAAATGATATAAGTCTTATAGGAATTGGCACCTCCGTTTAGACTTAATTGATACAAAGATAGCATTTGATATATTCTCCTATTACAATGTCATTACAATATAAATTAATGTTTGGAAATATGTTAATTAATTGATAATTACATAATTATTTCATTTAGTATATTCGATAATAATGATATATTTACGTTACACCGTCAAAGATTTTGAGTTATGAAGTGTTATTAGAAATAATTTAATATATTATATTTTTTATATGCAAAATAAATCAATAGCTTCAATTATTTTACATCTACTTATAAAGAATTAAAATTTGTTATATATAAATTTTATGTTATACATTTTTTAAAATACTATTTATTCTGAAAGAAAATAAAGTTCGAAATGCGTGGTTGATTATAGAAATGGTCTGAGACAGTATTAAGGCAAAATGATATCGTTTATTGTTCACGACATTCGAACAATTTCTATTTACTTACATGTAACGCTGAAATCTCAAAATGCCAATTTTGGAACGACAGTAGGCGGATATTTCATCACTTATCACTACAATTTACTTCTCTACTTCGCTGGATTTTCCATTGGAGATTAATAGGCGTGCTCCTTTACATATCCCCAGAGGAAAAATTCCAACAGAGTTAGATCTAGAAATTGAAATGCCCATTTCACATATCTACTTCACCTGATCCATTTCTGTGAAAATCATTCATCCAGTTATACCTAAATTTATATGCTGCGTGTATATGATTCGTAGCTGATGAGATTTCGGAGTTTCAAAAGATCGTACATCTGCATATGAGTAACAAAAAAAAAGGAACAAAAATGATTTTTGTAGCGTAATCGCTATCCGTATAATGAAATTTTAAATTATTTATTTATCAAGTTTCCTTAAATTTACATAAAAGTATTGAAAACACGAATATTTAAAATAATTTATGTAATTAAAAAATTGGAAAACGATTTTCTATTCCAGTAATAAATATGCATATTCCATTAAATATCTCAGGAGGGATAGATTAAAGTTCGAAAAATCGTTTAAAATTATGAAAAATTCAAGAATGGAGTCGGGGGATTTAAAGATTTTTCCCTAGATTAATTAGTTATACAAAATTATATGAATTACATTTATTAAAACAGATTCACATGTTAAGTAATTCAGATTGGTACTAATGGACAAACGATTTAATAAACGCTGTGTAAATAATATTCTAAGCAATAAAAACGATAACTTTAAAATTAAATTTTGTTAATTAGTTAGTTATTTTTTATTTTTTTTATTTTTGGCACCGAGCCTATTAGGCTACGTTGCTCTAGGCATAAAAAATAAATACAAAGAAAATGAAATGATGGTTAATTATGAACAAGGTACAAATACATACAGTATTCAAGTGTACGAGGTCTGTACAGTTGCTGTTTAAAGGAATCAATAATTGAAANCCCCCCTATAACACTGTTGATAATTCCGTTTTATATGAATTCCATGTTGTACGAGTCACTTAGATTTTTCAAATACGTGAGCCGTTCACAGCCCGGCACATGTATTTGGAAAATCTAAGTGACTCGTACAACATGGAATTCATATAAAACGGAATAATCAACAGTGTTATAGGGGGGTCGACTGTGTAATTTATTTACATTATTTTAAAATTCTTGAATTCTGAAGCTATTATAAATGCTTTGTTTATGGGATGTTTTACAGAAATATTCGAGAGAATATTCGAGCATCACAGTTTAATTTCAGAATAAAAATTTCATTCCATTACATTATAATAAAAGTTTGTCGATATCGTTTATATGTAAGTGGCGACAAACTTAAGTTTTCTGCTAGTTACGTATAACTTACAAACGGTCGTTGCAGACAATGTTCGAAAAAATTTTAATTTCTTCTTTCCGAAATGTTATCAGGAAAACTCAAAAAATGTGTATTTACTTCATATTTTATGTTAATTGGCTGAATCTAATTATTAAAAAATGGATAAAAGCTTGTAGAACTAAGTCCTCTTTTAAAAATCAATGTAAAAAATAATATGTACAGTATAAAGTTACGTATTATAAACAGATTAAAAAATCAAGACATCATGGAAAAAAGGTAATTAGAATTGTATTCTCTGTATAAAAATGTACAAAAACAACAGGGAAAAATTATTACTGCAGCATGAGTTTGAAGAATGACATTCTCAAATTATATTAATTTTTCTCATTGAGAGCTCCATAAATTATATATCTTTTCAAATTACATTTTAGGAATTCTTAGCCTTGAAAAAAACGAATTCTGGCTATTAATTTAAGAATGTTTATTCTGGAATAGTGTACACTATTATGTCATTTGACTTGATTCTTATAGTTATGAAAAACTACCATAATGATATAAGCATGATGTAAATTATAAATTATGTAGACAAAACGAATGCACTTTATTCTCAACGATACTTGTATTCAATTTTGAGGAATTTCTCTTTATCCTCTGACATCTAATTCCTCGAATATAAAATGCTTACTATTCTTTTCTTCATTCCAATTTTATGAAATTCATTATCATTTATTTTTGCCATTCTACTCCAATCACTATTTTTGCATTTCTAACAAATTATATATTTATTCGGTTATTTCTGAGTTTGCCCGACACGTATTTGACATCACACGCATTTCAGCAGATGATATATTAATTTCTACTGCCGAAATGCGTGTGCTGTCAAATACAAGATAACACGAAATGTCGAAGTAGGCCTACGTAATTTTCGGGAAATGCCCAAAACGATGACGATAAACCACATGTTGTCCAAGAGAGCTTAGGTTTCCCCTACTCCAGCTTTTGACGTTAACATAAAGTTAATAGAAGCCAAATATAAGCCAAGCAATTCACTGTTTCCTATTACATTTCCAGATGTAAACTTTAAATATTTTACATTTAAATTTTCCTAATAATGTATTCAAGTACACAATCAAAGATAATTTACGCACTGACAGATTATAAACAAATTAATGAACATTAAATTATTAGTCAAGCTTTGTTACAAAATATGCAAAGATTTATTGTATTTTTTGTATGCAAAAATTTATTTTGTAAAAAACGATGGCGTGAAAGGTACGCCTTTTACGCCATCGCTTTTTACTCCAAAATAGAGAAATAGTTTGTCAGAAAAAGTTTTGTGAACGATTCAAACAGCGATAAAACGTACAAATTTTGGAAATTTTCTATGTTTCGGTGCAACTGGCGCCTAAATGAATGTCTTATATATGTTTTAAGATTCAAATTTTAAGAAATTTAGATTTATTTTAAGAAATTTTATTTTAATTTTAATTTTAAGAAATTTAGATGTCATTATTACATCTCCGAGAAAAGGTTCTGAAATATTATATTAAATTATAACTTTTATTGCGATATTTATTCATATTTTACGTTACATCAAATTAAAACCTATATTTTTCGAGATTGATCTAAAGATGTAAAATTTAATCCTAATTGCAGAAATGGGAAAAGAAACAAAAGAACTTAGAGGACAATCTGGAAGAAATGAAAAGAAAATTAAAGGTAATAATACTATTAGCGTGTCAAAATAATTTCGAGTTTCCTATGCCTTATTATTGAAATTAAATGACTTTTTAAAATTTAATACTAGAGGAATAACCGGCCAAGTATGGCGGTTCGATTTCCCGCTTGCTCTACCCACTTGCTTCCAATGTAGATTATTCGTAACAAAATATTGTTACGGTTCGACTTTCCTCCAGAAGCCAATTTCGCTCCCTTCGCTCAATTTCCTGAGGGATAAAAGGCCCTACCTCCCACTCTCCTCTCGGTCTAACCTCCGCTTGCATCGTTCCCCTGAGCTACTCTCTTTTGCTTCTCCGGCTTGTTCAAAAATTTCGTGACAATTCACAATTTATCGATTCTTGTGCCGCCGTTTTATTCTGCTTTTTTCTTGACGGAAAAATGTATCATGACGATTTCAAGCCTATATATTATATAATATATAGGCGATATATAGAGAAGATTATACGGTAGTATACATTCTGTCAAATGGAAATGCCAAATATCTTCTTTCAATTTTTGTTTAGTATGCTAATATCTATAAAAATATTTTATTTTATATCTTTTCCTTATATAATTCGCCGTCTATACTTAATTCTGAAAAAACGGAATCCGAAGAACTTATCCTATATTTATTAGTTGATTACTTATTATAAAGCAGTGTTAAGGATTTATGATATATATATAGCCTATATGAAATTCCTAGTTCCTTTTCTCGTATGTAACGTATTAATTAAACAACATAAAAGATTATATTAAGAATCATATGTAAGTTAATTAGATAAAAAGAACTTAATAGATTCAAATAGTTATCCTTTATTTTTAAATTATATATTGGTTTTCTTTTTATAATTTAATAAATATTTTATGCTAAATTTGAATTTCAAGACTTTAATTTTAACAATGGTAAATACATTATAGGAGTATCGAATGAAATGTGAACAAGTCAGTCAAAGCCAGATCAATCAACAGTCGAAAGATTTGATGTTTGTAAGTTACCATTTTAAAACTTTAATCAAAATGGCATTCAATGCTTTGTAGCCAAAGCCTTGAATGATGTTTAAATTAAATATTACACACAATAATTTAATAAATTAACATTTAAATAGTAACTAGCATTAAGATAATACCACACTTTTGCTCAAAAGCATGAAATAGTTGAATGACCTATTGTACCGGTGTTTTTAATCTTTTCAATAGATGCTCTAGGACAACGATTCCCAACCTTTTTCGGGTGGCGACCCCTTTTTATAAAAGTCAAGTGACCCGCGACCACGATACAATTGAAAAAGGCATTTTTAATAAGGCAATTAAAAAAAACAACTAAATTAGTTTTTTTAGTATAATTTTATTTTAAATTATGTTTAATAATTAATTTAATGCTATGGTTGAAATTTCACGTTATTAACCAGCCTCAAAATTCGCGAATGAGTTTTTGTTAACGACAATCTCATGTCATTCTCAACATTTAATTTATTCCTTTCAAACTCTCAACACATGTTTCAACCAACTTTGACAGAATAGCGTACCTAGATTACTCTTATTTTAATTTTTTAAAAATATATGAAATTATTCAAACTTCAAGACACCATTAAAAATAAAAATTGCATTACAGTGAATACTTTTTTTAGTTTACTGTATAAGTTGGCGACCCCACAGAAAACCCGTCGCGACCCATAGGTTGGGAACCCATGCTCTAGGTCTAGGATAATAGTTATCATCTCTACTACTGTTAAATGTGAAGAATAAAAACTGTAGCAATTAACTGTAAAAACTGTAATAATTGATTTTAAAGAATAAAATATTTTTATGGCAGTTTTTTCCAGTTAGTCTTACAGAATTAATATAATATGAGTTTTATGAATTTTATTATATTCAATTCAATTAATCAATTTTATTAGTAATAAGGCCATTAGCCAGTTACAAGGAATGTTTTTTTAACAATCAATTCATCTTAACACCAATAATTTCTCCTTCAACTTCAACCAGTTTAACCTAAAACTCCATCTTCTTATACCTAGATAAATGTTCTTAATTAGTACAACCTGTATCAAAAAATACATTATATAATTCACCTACACTTAATTATTTATTTAATTATTTCAATTCTATAACAACATAACTTCTGTGCATAGTTATATAGTATAATCTATAAATTATATCTATTGATGCTCTATTAAATACTTCATACATTGCCTTTTCATTATTGCATTTAAGTAAACATTGTAACTCTAGCTTCTGTGCTAGTTTCTTGGCATCTTTAAAATCACAAAACAGGTGAAATTTTGAATTTATTTCTGGACATCTTGGACACTTAGTCCCAGTAAAATCGATAATTTTATTATTAATTAGTATCAATTCTTTATTTAGTCTAAGTTGCACAAAAAATCTTTTAACGTTAAACGCCAGATTTGTAAACGTATAAGTGTTATTAAATGGATAATCCAGAATTATTTTATACCAATCTGGTTTCTTTCTATTATGTAAATCTTCAATATTCTGAGACAAAGTAATTTCTAACACATTTTGTATTAATTGGTGATAATGCTGATCACTTAACTCTGGTCGATCCAGGAATATATTTATAGAATAACCAAACTAATTCAGTATTTTTGATAATTGGGTCACCCAATTTCTATCATTCTTTTTCACCAATGACTTCTGATATAATTGATATAGCAATATCATTGATAAATTCCCAGTATCTCTTAATTTAAATAAAATTTTCATATATCTCTTCATTAATGATGTACACAATTTATATCTACTCAGTTCTAATCTGATTGCACTACCAGGTATATTATAAAAATAAAGAATTTTTAGTTAAAAAACAAGTAAAAAATTATACTCTTTCTATTTCCGATTTCGAGGATTCTATGAGCCAAAACAAGACAAACAAATGGCAAGGAAGAATCATCATTTTATTAATTTTATCCAAATGCATTTTGCCATCTAGGCCTCCTCAGTGGATACATCAAGATGTTATTCGTTGGTTACGTTTTATACCCAACAGCCGTTCCCAGCATGCATCAACAATCATTCCAGCATTCAAATTAAGCAAATTTACATGTTCGGCGATACAAAAATGTTCTACAATTTTTCTTTCTAAATTATTTTCTATTCTATACAATATTTTAGTATTTTTTATATTTATATTATGATTAAATTTTCTACAATGTAAAACCATGCTGATTCCGTTCTTCTCAGTCTAATGGCCGCCTCATGATCCTTTACTCTCAACTCCAATGTTTTTGAAAAATATAAACCGATATTTAAAGAATTTTCTATATGCATAGTTGCGAATCAAAAGAACAAGATGTCAAACATTATCAGCATAATAAACAGTGAAAATTCGCCCAGAGACCAATTTAAGATCGCTGGTGTCGTATATAGGATGTCATGTACATGTGGAAGCCCAAATTATTACATTGGAGAAACCGGAAGATTGGATGCGGTTATAATAAAATATTGTGCGATTATTTTCATATAATTAAAATTAATATTTATTTATATTTTAGAGAATACGAGGGAAGCGGCGCTTCCAACGCTTCTAATGACGGCACGCCACTGCTGTAAACACTTTGCGTAAACCAGATAATAACGCAATGGGGCGATAATTAGATGGTCTTAACCTTTCACCATGTTTATATAAGATGACAAATATTACCTCATTCCAATTATTTGGTACAATTCCTTGCTTAATCTTTAAGCCTCCTTTACCCCTGTATTCTTCTGAAAAACTTCTAAAATAATGTAGCCAATCGTTATAAGGCACTTGAATTTTTTCTCTGTATCCTGACTTATTGATTCGAAAATCATTAACCACCGTCTAGAAAATTTTTGTGTCTTTAGTTCTAATTAATTTCTCACTAATTTCTGAAAAATATTTTCTCTTCTTAGCCTTCAGTAGATTGTGATATACTCTCTTGCTATCTAAATACATCTTCGACGATTCTTCAGTATTAACCTTTCTAAATCTTTGTAAATTTTTTTGCTTTTTTGATTTATAAATATAACATTTTTTATCAAACCATTTGTGTTTAAACTTGGTCAGATTTATTCCTGAACATCTCTTAAAACGATAACTGTCTAAAAATTTTATTAAATGGTTATAATTTTCAATCGGATTCTTCACTCTTCCATGAGGCACCAAGACATCTACACTATTAGATATTTCATTAATAAATTTATCTTTATTATACATCTTGTTTACTTCCTTATTACATTCTTGCTTTAAATTATATCTTCAATTCCACTCATCAACATTTCCTCTCAATACTAGTCGGATCGGAAAATGGTCTGACACATCTAAGTCTAATACAGACATCCTCTGACACTGATCTAGAAGGAATTCAGAACAAATAATGTTCTGAAATATATAATTGACTTCCCCAATGGAGATATAAAGGAGTACTCAGCGGGGATGCCCCCTTTGACTCTGCCATTTAATATAAAAAACTCACATTTCTGCACAAATTCTAAAAGATTCCTACCATCAATATTTACAATTTTACCTTTGGATGATCTATCATTAGAAATAATTGTATTTTTTGTTTATATTTTGAGTCCATTTTCTCACAAATCCGTACATTAAAATTACCTCCCATTATCCATAGATTTACAATACATGACCACTGATCTATGTAACTTTTTACTTCTTTTAATGTCCATTTTTTATCTGATTAAGGGGCCAAATAGATTAAAATAATTCCCAAATATGATTCACCCCAATACATTTTGGTTCTTTGATTCAGAACCATCACCGCACAAATAAAATTAACTGTTATATAATAATTAAAAAGTTCTCCAACGTTTTTCTTAACCATCAACACCAGACCACCTGATGGACGACCCATTCTTCTTATTCTCTGTGCACCATTAAACAATATTATATTCTCCGGCTCTAGATCTTCCTTGTCCACTTTACTCATTCAAATCATCCAGGTCTCTGTAAATCCAATCATTGAATGAGTTTTTATATAATTTTTAACTGATTCACTGTACAATTTACCCTGCAACCCTTGAATGTTCCAAAAACTTATAAGAAGATTCTCTCTGTCATTGACAGTGAGTCCTGCAGGCAATTTATCATCCTCATCCTTATTAATCGGATTATTCAAATTTCTCTTGAAGATCTGACCATCCTTTAAATTATTTTGGGTTATCTCCATGTTATGGCTATAACAACTTTTTATATCCTCTTCATCCAAATTTATAATCACATTCCTCCTAAAAAATGGTCTATTTTGATAATCTTCTTTGTATTGATGTCATACGTATATGTCAAATTGTCCTTTATATAATAATAATCTCTTATTATAATTTTGTTCTTATTGGATTTTTCCTGTTTTATTTTACTCTGCAAGTATTTCCTCCTTAGCCTCGAACGTTTACATATATCAGCCGTAAATATTATTTTCGCCATTTCTTCACCATCTAAGTTTGATTTCACATGCCAAAATTCTCTAAAAATTTTATTTCTTGTAATAACAGATTTAAGAATTATTTTTACCATAGGTTTCTTTTCTCTTTTACTTAATTTAATTAAACCTTCTATTTCAATATTTTTTAATTTTAACTCATTATTAACAAATAAATTGATCTCTTGTAAATAATCCAGTGATTTGAACCGAAAATTTATAATTATTACTGTATATTTATATTAGTTTTCTCATTTACTAGTTTATCTAATTCAAATTCAAACGTACCTTTTAGGCAGTCATTATTCTCCGATTTTTCCTCCAATTTAAGTTTATGGTTGATTTCCTTCATTCCTTTTTTATAATTTTTATTTTCTTCTTTCAATGCATTTTCCTCTGATTTAATCAATTGGATTTCAATATTTAGTTGATTAAACTTATCCTGGATTAACTCATAGATGGATTTCAAGGTATATTGAGATTCTTCCATTCCTTGAGATTCCAACATATCCACTGGCTCGAAGTAATCATGAATTTTCGAGTTCTTAACTGAATCAGCTCTATGTTGGCTATTTCCTTCTATTGGATAATAATCCTTACCTAGAATTTCTACTAGTTGATTGTCTTTCTCTTCTTCCCTGGAACTTTCCTTGCGTTGTCTGCCTCGCCCCCTTTTTTGCATATCCAAATGGTCTAGTCTTTGAGGAGATCGGGGCAGCGGTCCTGGATTAGATTCAATTCCCGCAATAATTAGTAATATTACAATTAAAACCAATGACAACTTATTGTCAAATTTCCAAATCTCCACAGTATTCATTTTCCTTCTAAAAGTCGTTTACTTATTCCAATCTACCGACTCTCAACACCTCTCCAAAAGTTCACTCGCACGCTTGACTACTTCGACACGTCTCCGAATTTTATTATATAAATTTTATACGTTCAGATAAATTGCGTATTATATGAAGTGTAATATTCAATATTATCATTATAAAATTCATCTCTTCTTCCAAAATTACTTTGAACCCTCAATTGAGGGTTCGAAGTAATGTAGTTTGAATTCCGGGAAAGCCTTAAAAATAACGGTTAATACGGTTGTTGATATCAATTGGCATCTGTAATAAATAATTGAAATTTAAAACTATGAAATATTGACGCTTGGCACGAACAGATAATTCAATGGAAAATTATAATATAGAAAAGCGTGGATAAGCTAATCATCACCAAATTAAACAGAAAATTTATGAAATTTATGAGGCCTTTTTATCGCAACATCTGTAACAAAATTATGCGAATAGGTAAAAACAAACCACCTAAATACAATAAAACTTGAAAAATTATTATGAAAATTAAATTTATTCTAAATTATGTTTTGAACAACGGTTACTACACTAACAGAAGGAAATTGCGAGCCACGTCATTACACCAATGCCAATTGAAATGGTATGCACTACTTAGGGTATGAATAAATATATGCCATTATTTTTTAAAGTCAGTTTTTTGACCCTCGGAGAAACCGAACACAAAAATAAACCTCTTTTCGTTTTTCTGGAAGGAATATATCTAATAACACTTGAAATATTGTTTATTTTGTGTCTGGGTTGTAAGGTTTCCTTTGTAAGTTTAGTAAACGTATTTTTGATCTAAATACGAAGATGTGATATAAAATGCACCGATGTCCATTTACAAATAATTTTAAAACGTTAGAATGTTGTGTATTGTTTAACGTGATGCCAGATCTTGCTCTAGTATCCGTTCTTTCATTCCAAAATAGATTGGTGAGATCAACATAATCTACTTCCGTTTCACGTTATTATGCTATTTCTCGTTGTAGTCGTTTTGACATAGAATCAACGATCAAAACCTTGGAGCTATATGACATCCCAAATAATTACTGAAACAGCATGCTTTATTTTCAAATCGAGACTTTCTGAACAATGTTCTATTACTTTTATGTTGCACAAGATGACATTTATTGAAAAGTTCTGCACCTGAATACAAGACTTTTCAGTAAATACAAATTATAAGGCTTTAGACTCCACGAATGGTTTACGACAACTAATTTTACACACTTGCTCTTATTTTAGATATCTCCAGTCAACACTAAACATTTTATTCAAATCCGAGAATTCACTCTGATTTATTTCTTATGCAGTCAGACTTCTTTATAATATCGGTCTTAACAATTCTAAATTTATTTCTTTAACTGTTATAAACATTATCATATACTGAATTTAATGTTGTTTTCTGTGGCGTTGACACCGGGTATTTTTTTTTACAAGTTTGCGGACATTATAGTTTTCATCTGCTTAGTCTATTAGCAAATACTTGTCCAGCTATAATCCCATTTTCACCTCATCTTAATTCTCAATTGGACTATTACATCACCTGTACTGTACAATGACTTTTACAGTAAAGATTCTAAAGTTCGACTTTGAACTGTAACAGTGACATTACAAATTCTGATTTAATACACATATCATTTTTTCTTGTTTTTTTTTTTTTATTCGAATTTTTACGGACTTGTTTTCGTTTCAACATTCAAAGTTTTGTTCGTGTGGTCCAAGTGCCTATTAAACTAGCATATTCTATTCGCTACTTTATAATTTAGTTTATTGTTTTATAAACTAATTCACTAATTTTAATTTAAACTTTATTTTTATATTTCTTAATTTTATAAACAGAATTTAATAAGTTGTGCAGAATACCTTTTATGATAAACATATTTTCTTAATGATTTTTAATGCGTAGGACATTTAACACGTGAGAAAATTTGCACCATTTTGACTCTTGAATGTGTACTTAAAAAGATTGATAAAATTATGTAATAGGACAGGGCAAACTCATAATACTATATTCAATGAATAAAAGTGCTTTTATATTTTTTAGGAACAAGAAAGCATGAAGGAAGACTTAGAAAAACTGGATGCAATGTTTGAGGAGGCAAAATCAGTAAGCACTGATATATTTGAATAACTTAAAGTAGATAAAAATTTAGCGTTAGAGATAAACGAATACCATCAGCGAGTACGTGAATACTAGCGGGTATTCGAGATTCAAAATCTCGAATACATTGGCAATAAAAAAGGCATTCGAATACTATGGATACCTTCAATATCGCGCCATATGTACAGACAACGTCTCTTCAGCATACAACACCAATTGTTTAATCTGTGTCAAGAAGAGAAGCGTCAGAACGTGTTCGAATTTTTATTTTCTTAAATAAAACTCTGCAAGAGAATAGCATTTATTGATCAATCTGTTATAGTTGAGATAAGAATATTGTAAAGAAGCTGCTTTGAAACTCAAAATTAAAATAAAAAGTTTGAAGTTTAGATTTAGTAAATTATTTTTCTTTTTATTTTACTTTGTCAATCTATTTAATAGATTAAAATAAATAAAATATGTTAGATAAAAATATTAAATAAACTTATCAATTAAATAAGTCAAATAAGATAATTAAATTCGCTAAATAGACCTATTCGGGTTATTCGAGTTTCCGAGGTTTGATTAATATTCGAATTTGGAGAAAAGTGTTATTCGTCCATCTTTACATTTAGCTATTCTACCTTTTAATAAAATTTAATTTCAAAACGTTTATACTTACTATTTCTTTATTTACTTTTTTATTATATAATTTATTTGCATTTTGAGTGTTGTTCCATATTACAATTTATATATATTATTTATATTCCTATTTCACATTTAATTCTAATTCCAGTTATAATTCCTTTTCTTTTATTTTAAATGTATGTAAATTATATTTTAGTTCAATGTTTAAAATCGTTAGATGTATAATCTGAACCGAAAAATTCAGTTGTATTTTGTAACATTTCATATTGTTGGGTTTGTTTTTGTAAACTGAAGATAGTCGCTTTAATTAATTAATTGAAAACGTTTAATTTATTAAAGTTTTTTACTCCTTTTTTAGAAAGAAAATACAAACGTTTTACAATGGCAGAAAGACGAGAATGAAGTGTTAGAAATATTAAACGAAAAACTTCAACAGACAAAAGTAGTAAGCAAGGCAATGCCATTTTACTAAATTAAATGAGTATTTTTTCATTTCATATTCTTTAATGTTACAATATAATTTGATTTAACGAGATTAAATACTTCTTAGGAACAAGAAAGAATAATCTTTCAATTGAAAGATGAAATGAATCAAGAATTTAAAAACATGGATGAAAAATCCGAGAACATAAAATCAGTAAGCAATAAACTAACATTTCCACAAGAAAATGCTCAAATATAATAATTAAAAATATATTATATATTTTTTTATAGGAGTACGAAAGTAAACTTTTGCAATTGCAGAATGAAATAATTGAAGAATTTAAAAACTTGGATTCAAAATTACAACAGTCAGAATCAGTAAGCAGTAAAGTGATTTTTTGAATAATAATAAAATTAGTTTAAATAACATGATCTAAACTTAATATAAAACTTATCGAACGTAAGAACTTTATTTTTATTTCAGGAACAAAAAAGTACGATAACTCAAGTTCAGAATAAGATAAATGAAGAAATAAAAAATTTGCATTCAAAATTTCAACAGTCAAAATTAGTGAGCCAATATTTACATAAATAAAACTAATAATATTTTATAAGGTACAGTACGTTGCTCGAATAAGGCCCACTTAACACATTTAAATGTGTAAGGAAAATTAAGGTAGCGTAATAACAATGATTAAAACAGATATTTATCGAACGGTGTGTAAATAAAACATCTATATTGCAGTGGCGTATTATTCAACAAATAACTGAAATATGACTTTTAAAAGCTTCCTATTGGCCTTTTTACGAGCCAAATAAGATCGACTATCAAAATTTAATGACATTAAATTTTCGTCTTACTTTGGGCAAATATATACACCCATATCCCATATCCTCGGGCTGATAACTACTGCTCTTCGTGAATCCATTCTTCATTTTATTAGAGAAAGTTTGTATAGTACTGATTTTCAGAAACCTTTTGGAATCTGAGAAATTCCAATGTGTGAAAAATATATTGTTTATTTTTTACTGTTGCAATTTATTGAATTTATTGTTGCAATTTCGGTTCGCGTGCTTTCCGACAGTGGTCTTTTCCATATTCTCATATCCGTTCTACTTGTTTTTATACCCTAAAGTTACATCAAAAATGATAAACTTGCTACCTACGTTTCACCGACTCCTCTTTTTCATAGCACCCAAGGCCATGGCCATATTAACTTCAGGAATCCAGTTCAATCTGATCTTTCCTGTAGGAGTCATAGTTAAATCTGAAAGAATAAATTTTTATGAAAGTTTTTCAAATTTTATATCATTTCCAATAAGGTCCATTATTGTTGAGATGGGTTTTATTAATAACATTCATAGTGCTGTAAATGACAGTAATATATCTTATCTGTAACAATTATAACGTGTCTCGTTATCTTTACACACAGTCTTGATATTTTGTGATTCCTCCTAACTGTACTAGAAAAATTTTTTAGGCAAATATTTTATACTAGATAGCAACCATCTGTGACGAGTGAAGATCTGTAATATCACATGCTGCCTATCATGTTAATACGTTATCTGATCCTTAACAGGAGTTGGGCCTTGTTAGGGCAACCTTCTTTATAATTTTATCTTAACTCAAAATATCTCTGTATTCTATTCAATCAAAAAAATATTTTATGTACCTATATTTTAATTATTTTTATACCCTGAAAAGACACAAGAAAATGCGATTTCGCAATTGCTGGAACAGAAGACTGTTTTAAAGGAATTGGAAGTAAAACTGCTAGATGCAAAAGCAGTAAGTAATAAAATAATATTTTCATAAATAAATACTGAAATATACCTTTTATGATAAACATATTTTCTTAATGATTTTTAATGCGTAGGACATTTAACACGTGAGAAAATTTGCACCATTTTGACTCTTGAATGTGTACTTAAAAAGATTGATAAAATTATGTAATAGGACAGGGCAAACTCATAATACTATATTCAATGAATAAAAGTGCTTTTATATTTTTTAGGAACAAGAAAGCATGAAGGAAGACTTAGAAAAACTGGATGCAATGTTTGAGGAGGCAAAATCAGTAAGCAATAAACTAACATTTCCAAATAAAAATAAAAATACTTTAGATTATAAAATAAAATTATAAAGTTCAATGAAAGTGATTTATATGATTTTTTAGGAACAGGAAAAACATATTTTACAATTGATACTCAATGAGAAGAATAAAGCTAAATTAGTAAGCAATTGAAGAACTGTTCAATAAACAAAAACAGGAGCATATTAAATAACTATTTTCCATTTTGCAATATAATAATAATCCAACAAGTTTTTAATTAATGATTTCAGGAACTTGAAAATAACATGTTTCGGTTAGTGAAGAGTGAGATGAAAGAATCGTATGATAATTTGGATGTCAAACGGCAGAAAACAAATAGAGTAAGCAAAGAAATATGTCTTCACTAAACAAATAATACACATTTTAAATACATATTTGTCTTTCTCCAATAAACGTTTTAAATACTTATAGGAACAAGAAAATAATGTTTTTCGCGTAGTGAAGAGTGAGGTGAAACAAGAGTTTAAAATTTTAAATGCCAAATTGAAAGAGGAAAAACGAGTAAACATTGCAATACCCGTTTAATAAATAAAAACGAAAACGTTTTAAATATTTCTTGTCGATCTTCCAGGTAACAACGAATTAATAAATGTTTTAAATGCATTTTAGGAATATAACAGCTATCTTTCGAATCTGATGAAACGTGAAAGGAAACAAATAGAAACTCTGAGGAAAAAATTTCAAAATAAAATATCAGTAAGCACGATAACAATATTTAAATAAATAGTAATCTTATCCTATGTTTAAACTTGACATTCAATGAATTAACGTATTTTTATATTTTCAGAAAGAAGTAAAGGGAATTTTGCAAAGGCAAGAAGGAATAGAGGAAAATTTACGGAAATTAACTGCAGAACAAGAACACATACAATCAGTAAGCAATGCAATGTCAATTCATTAAACTTAAAATTTCATTTTTTCAATTTATTCCTTTAAATTTTTCAACACAATATCGATTTAATAAATATTTTAAACACGTTTCAGAAGGAAAAAATTTTCTCGAAAGTGCCAGAGCAGGAAATAAAACAAGTCGAAGAACCGTCAAATAAAAGGATTTTATCAGTAAGAAATGGAAATCTATTACTATATAAAATTAGAAAGACTATAAAATAAATTACAATCGACCCCCCTATAACACTGTTGATAATTCCGTTTTATATGAATTCCATGTTGTACGAGTCACTTAGATTTTACAAATACTTGAGCCATTCACAGCCCGGCACAAGTATTTGTAAAATTTAAGTGACTCGTACAACATGGAATTCACATAAAACGGAATTATCTAAAGTGTCATAGGGGATCGACTATATTGCAAAGTTATATCCTGATTTCAATTGTGAAAATTTAAAAGCTTTTTATGCATTAAAATTTCGGTGACATTCCAAAGCAAATATGTTTAATTGTTCAAAATAATGTGAAATTACAAGGAAAAATTACAATTTTCTTTTTAATAATAAGTGATGAATCGTTGGTTGACATTGTTAAAATTCAAAATTTTTTATTTATTAAGTTACTAGCTGATGAGCCCGGCGTTGCACGGGAAAAAAGTGACAATAACGAAGATTAAGATTATTACATTATAGCCAATCTTACCCGTTTTTTCAGAATGCAAGAATTAGGTTGCCCTGTTTCCAGACTAATTAGATATTTTTAGATGGGTCTAAAAATATGTTCGATTTCTCTCAAAAATGCAAAAAACCGCATCCCCGCCTGTAAATCTTGCACGTGGCTTTCTCTTAACACTTCAATTGTTACTTAACCACTTCCATTGTTAACACTTTCATTGTTAACAACCTCTCTCCATGAGGAGAATTTCGAAAATCCCATCTTAGTGTACGTTCTCGTGACTTACCTTAACTGTGTACGAAATTTCAACCTTCAACTCCTAACTGTTTGGGCTCTGCGCTTCTTATTCGGTGTGGCTATTTCAAAGGGCAATTTTGACAACTAAAAATAATATTGTCGACGATATCAACTTTAATATTCAAAAGAAAATTCCCGGTAATATTCAAAAGAAAATTCAGAACTGGCAAGAGTTCCTCTTCTTTTAAGTTTGGGCGTTGTATAAAATATAAATCAAATCAACTTTTTATTAACAAATACACTAAGTACACTTTAGACAGTTTCGCACTTTATTTTTGATTTATATTCAGTCATTGTATCACTTTGACTACTCGCACTTCACTGTTTGTTATTATTCACTCACTGCACTACTTTGGAATATTCACTTCTTTTTCGATTCTTCCCTTCTTCACTGATAAGAAATTGACGTTCGAACCCACGATGGATCTTGCTTTATATACCCCACCAATGTGGTCCCATCCATACAAAAAGTCTTCGAATGGTCCACAATGTTCTAGAACATTTCACAACATTCGAGAGTGTTCTGGAATGTTCCACAATAATCTGGGATGTTCTGGGATGTTCCCGAACGTTCCGGAACATTCTGGAATGTTGTGGAATGCTCTCGAATACCCTCGAATGTTCTGGACTGTTTTAGAAATTTCTAAAGGGCGAAACTTCCTGCCCTTATATCTTATACAGCACGCCCTTCAGGTAAAAACAGGAACCTTCTTCATGGATGGGATAGAGGGCTCCCACACCATATAACTCCCTTGAGCGTACCTACACTCGTTTTTGAGTTTTAGCGGCACACACATTGTACACTTACCTTTATTATATATATTGAATTGATGATTAATCATGATTATAAAAACATAAACAATGTGGGTCTATGAAAAACCAACAGTGCATGCAAAGTACCGCAGGCCCATGGGGTAACATGCAGACAGATCTTCACGCAATTTACCCTGTGCAGTTCACTACAAATAATGTTCTGCCGAACGTTTCTGCACTTTAGGCAAACCATTTGTAAATTATTATTTATCATTCCTATGCCTGCAAACTATTTAGATGCCTGCATTCGACCTTTCAACTGGTCATTGTAATATTTGAAAACTAAAAATATACCTGTTGCCAAATATGTAAATATAAAAAAAGCAAAAAATATTTCAAATTAATTTTCTTAATAACTTATGAATTTATATTTCAGAACAATATAACAGTCACAAATGACAAAGAGACCAGCGAAACAGACAATGTGAATGTTAGCAGTGGAATTATTTATTTTGTATTTCTTAACATGATTTGTGTAATGCTTGAGGAAGAAAAGTATATCATTTAGAGAAATATTTTTAAATACACAATGAATTTTTATTTCAGCAGAACGGAATTGGATCTAGTCATGCGGAGAAAAATAAAGCAGACAGTGAGAATGAAAGCAGTGTAATTATTTACTTTGTATTTCTTAATAATTTGTGTGGCGTTCGAGAAATGAAAATATTTCAGTTGAGAGAATATAGAATTCGATAATATAATGTAATGCAGCAGTGGGTATTGATGAGGAGACCAGCATAACCAGCGAAAGGAATGTAAGCCTATTTGGACCAAAAGTTAAAGAAAAATAAAAGAATATGTCAATTTTTTATCTATTTTTTTTACACTTTGATTTTGGGCCCTTAATTATGTAACTCAATGTGCTGTCAAACACTGCTTTTATATTAAATTTTGTTTTTTTTTTGTTATAAAAGACGTAACTTTATAAAGTATTTATCAATACGAAATATGTTATAAATAAGAAAAGATCAATTTGATCTAAACTGAATGTCTAAACGAATACATATATTAATGTAATAAAATAACAAAAAATGAAATTCTGGAAATATTCTGACAGCATAAGACAGGGATTGGATCTTACTTTTTTCGTTTAGTTTCGTGCAAAATTACAGGCGGAGCAAGGACATGCAATATTTTCAAAAGTATTTCATTTTATTTTTCATTACATTTGTATTATCCTCTTTTGTTGGGTGCCAATTCAATTTGCTTAGAGATTGAAGTGTTGGATAAACACGATTTAACTTTTGGTAAATGTGTATTTATTGCCGTGCATTTCATATTTTTCTGGACCAAGTCTATATGTAAATTCTTTATTAATATATTTTACATCTATTAAAATTTCCATCTTGATTTTTCCACAATGTACAGGATAGCTACGATTAAAGTTTTCCTATTCAGAGTGCGGTGTAGCAGTAACCAATAAGTGGAGTGACACCAAAATTTGTATATATACTGTACAAAGATTACGAAAAGTTTGGTAAAAAGTTCGCTCACAAACTTCCGCTATGTGGCGCTTTATACGAAATTACACGAAAGGAAGCAACAAAAACGCAATTATTCGTTCTCTTGCCAAACGAATAAATGAGGTTTTGCTACTTTTTTTTCCTTCTTAGCTTTTTCTCCAAGGCTGTTTAATGATGTAAGAAATGTTTCTAGTTGCATGCTCTATTTTTAGGCTAAAATGTAATGGCAATGAACACATTTTCATCGCCTGATCTCTGGAGAGCAAGCTGGCGACAGGCTCTCCAGTGATGCTTCTGACATGCTTTATGATACGATATGTCACGCCAGATGGCCGAGCTGTTAAAGTGGCAGACACCGCTCTGGGCTACTTGGGATCGAGTCTGGACGGGTCAAGGAATCCCTAATTTTTCGGGGGGTGGTCCGTTCGGATATGTCGGGCCCTGTCCCTCACCACCTGGCAGCCCCATTGTGGGCCTGGCCGAACCCATAAAGGCCTTGCAAAAAGAGGCCCTCTTAGTGCCCACAGGACGGAAAGAGTTTAAAAAAATTACAATATGTCAACGTTCCAACATTTTCATAATGAACAGTATTCTTTAAATAACCTTAAACCAGAAATTACAAGAATTCAAATTACAAGGATTCAGATCAATGTCATTGTTTTCACTAATTTTAAACAGATTAAAATAACGCCTTGTGGTTTTCATTATTTTATCTGTTTTTATGTATTTTTATTAAAGCATCCCTAGCGGAATTTTTGAACTAACCATTTTTGCGAAATCTTTTTCCATATCTTTGCATAGTCTATAAAAATTTTGTGTCATTCCACTTATTGGTTACAGCTACAGAGTGCTCCAAATAGGAAACTTTAATTATTGTCACCCTTTATAACAAATGCATCCATGCGGATAGTTTTCATTAGGTTATAGAATATAATCATAGGCCAATGATAGCGAGCCTAATACAAGCGCGACGACTTGTATTAGGTAAAAGTGTCCGCAATAAATGTTTAGAATATTAGATTTTAATATAAATTTCAAAAATAATATTTTCTACATTTGAAAAATTTGCAAATGTAACCTGAAAATGAAAACTTAAAGCTACAGTAAAAAGTATTAAAGGCCACTAATTAAGAACCTCAGGAAAATTATTATATAATTAATAATAGATTTCCCATTAAGTAAAATATTTGTTTTCTTATAATTGCATTATTACTTTCTTTTACACTCATATAANAAAAATATATTTGTTCGCATTAATTTCCCTAATAACAAATAAACTTACGTTTCAGCAGGACACAGCAGTAGCTAGTAACGAGAGCAGCAGAGAACCAGACAATAGGAATGCAGTCAATTTATTTGTGTATTTTTTATTCTTTAGCATGATTATTATTGGATCAACACTGTTGCCTTTGACTTTATTGGTTGGTTTTTCTTTCTGGCTGGATAGTGAGAGTGTTGAAGTCACAAGTTTTTTCCAGGCTTTCAGATTATTTAATGAAAATTAGTTGTGGTGATTAAAATGATTTTTACGAATTACTTGTATTTTACAGAAAACGTAGCATACGAGAATGAATATTATGTAAGTAATTTAGCAAACAAATGACTTATGACTTATATAATGGTAAAAAGTACTTTTGATTTATGACGTAAAATTCATCTGAAAGTTTTTTGGTGGTTAATTATTAGAAAAATTATTTGCTATTGCGACCCTGTCAGGTCAGTTTGGCTTGTAGGCCTTACGTGAGCGGACGCGTTTGCAGTCGATCGGGCAGATGGAGTGAGAGACAATGACCCGGAAGTGACTCACGCTGAGACTAGGTTAACGTAACAACAGTTTAATGGGTAACGATAGGCTATACATCAGTGTTTCTAAACCTCTAACGAATCGTCGCATCCTTCAATAAAACCGTTACGTAGTATCGCTCCCTTCACTTCAAAATTCTTATGCCGAGGGCCAAGGCTAACGCCAAATTCGTACTGCATTGAATAGACTAGTGACTAGTATAATGTTATTTGTTTAATTATTGTACGATAGAACGAATAAAATATCGAATTAATCTTAATATAGTATTTTACTATATCGCGCAGAAAATTGTTTTTCGCCCCCCAAAATATAAATTGTTACAAATCGTCCCCTCAACATGGAAAAACGCCCACATAGGGCGATATCGCCCTGTTGAGAAACACTGCTATACATCTTTTACACTAAGTTGATAAGTTCGATTGAAGGGGTGTAATAAGCGTTCGAGAGAGAGTTTACAATTTTCGTGTGGTGATAATTACCTCGAGGTCGGTTGAATCGTTACGAGGTCTTGGTTCAAGTGTCCGAGTCGGCGACGTCGATAATCGCAATATGAGGCACTTAGCAAGTCAGGTTGCTGATGAAGTAATCCAGAGGATAGGCACTTAATACGTTTGTAGGTCGATGAAATAAATCCAAGAATTTGGCACAGCGCGAACGTGATGAGTTGGAACTAATCGCTTCTGGGGGTCAGGTGACGATGGTAAAACATCGGAAGAGGAACGACTGCCTCGAAAATCGGTCTGTTGCTATATTCATTTGACAAACTTGTAACAATAGGTCAGAAGGTTATGTGAAAGCGTCCTTTTATTGTCTGAGAACGTGTTAAACGATTTACTCCTAGGTGTGAAAAAAGTTATTTAAACGATAAAACGGTTGTTAAAGAAATAGGTTAGGCTGTAGTTAAGTAAGTAAACGAGGCTTAGTCTCACACTATGATCGTTAATGGTATAGATAACCGAATATCTGTAATAAGGTATAAGAGATGCAATTAAATTACAGTGATGCTGAAGTTAGGAAATGATAAAATTGAAACGATTAATAGATAATGAAAATCAATATCAGTGTTGCGACATCGGGGAGATCCTTTCTTAGGACGCTTGTGTTGCTGGGGCAAGATATAACGATAGCAAAGATTAACATTATTAGATTATAGCCGATCTTACCAATTTTCACAGAGTGCAAAAATTGAGTCTTCCCTCTTCTGGCACTAATTAAAAAATTTTTACATGGTCTAAAAATATGTTCGATATTTCGCAAATTTGCAAATAACCTCATCTAAAATAGTACAGTAGTAGCCTAGTTCTTTAGGGTAATTCTTAACCTTCTCCCTTTCCCCACAAGAAAATTTTCAAAACTTCCTTCTTAGTGTGCGTTCTCATGACGTACCCTAAATGTGTACCAATTTTTGACTTTTAACTACTAACCGTTTGACTTCTGCGCTTATTATTATTGTTATTATTATTATTATCAACCCATCTCGATTATACACAAGGTATCAATATATAGATATTAAATGTACCAAATCATTAGATGTAATAAGTTAGATGCAATTAAATAAGCAATTTCAGTAATCAATATGAACCGGTTACTACACAATGTTTACAATACCTTGACTTTATTGTTTCAGCAAAACACAACAGTCACTAGTAACGAGGGCAGCAGTGAAGCAGACTTAGAAGATGTAAGAAGTGTAAGTAATTTGTATTCCTTGAAATAACCAGAGTAATGTTCGAAAATCAAAAATATATTAGTTCGCATTAATTTCCCTAATAACAAATAAACTTACGTTTCAGCAGAACACAGCAGCAGCTAGTAACGAGGGCAGCAGTGAAACAGACTTAGAAGATGTAAGAAGTGTAAGTATCTCGTATTCCTTGAAATAATCAATGTTCGAAAGACAAAAATATATTCGTTCGCATTAATTTCCCTAATAAC